GGAGAAGCGGAAGTGACATTTTTACAAATGAAATTAATTTCAACAAATTTATTTGAGATCATGTACAAGATTATTCACTATTAAAGACACCTTTTATAACCACTATTGCATATTCAAAAAAAGCTTTAAATAAAAGTTTGTGAATATGACTGACTTTTTTTAAATATACCATAAAAACACGTATTCAGATTTCACGGAATACAACACAAATAAACTTTTTTATAAATGGGATACCCTCTATGTTATTAAATTTCTGGGATATTTTTTTTCTAATTTCACAAATGTATATTATTGATAACCCTATCTTATACCGTCTGTTCTCGAGTAATTTAACGTTGATAATGTAAACGTGAAAAAGTTAACATTATTAAAGTAAAAGCTATGAAAATCACAACTATTATGTTTGATAATAAAATAATCCAAATAGGTAGTTTACAGTGAGAAAGAAAAAGTGTAAATATTTATAAGATATTCGACATAGATTATCTATGATATTCGACGTTTAATTAATCAGGAAAGAATAAAGATCATTTCGAAAATTGAATAAAATATATATATATCTATGCTATCCTTATTAAAAAATATTCATGTTAAATCCTGTGAAATATGCACACCACTTATATGGTCATTTGATGACATTTTTACAAAATTCGGTCAATGTAAACATTATACAATAATAATTATAGCATAAAGGGAGGGTAATTTATAATGAATAACCCTGTTAGGTACCATAAATTTGTAGTAAAAAAATTTTAATTCGCACTTTTTTACGTAGATTAAAGAAAAATGTAATTTTGTGTTTTCTTGGTGCAGACATTTTGCGACACACTGTATATTCAAATACAAAATGATGTATTTTCTTTTAACACATACCTAATACAAATTTATTAGCAAAATTTAAATACTTGTTATAATTTTCGGTATATTTCTCCTTTAGACACACACGTTTTTAGTTTCATTGTCAAAAGATTTAAATAAAATTACCTGACCTTATAATATTCTATCATAATTTGATTATTAATGTAAAATTAATATTTTGAAATTAATTTAAGTTTTACCAATTTAGAAAATAAAATTAAATAATAAAAAAAAAGTGTCCACTCGGGGGGTTTGAACTCAGAACCCTTCGATTCGTAGACAAGTACTCTAAATTTTCGTTATGAAGACTTTTGAAAAAGTTTTACTTTTTAACGCTGATAATCAGACTGCTTTTAGTTTCATTAAAATCTCAGTTTATTTCTAAATATAGACGAATATCTTGTGGAATGCTATTATTTATTGATTCTTTACAAGAATCACTAATTTTTATTTATATTTAATCTAAATAATTAAAAAAATATATACTGACAATTCATTTTACGGAATTCTCACTTATAAAGTTCTAACATCTGACGTAGAGGGCGTATCTAACCAGTAAATAAAATCGTTAGTTCAATGATTGTACCAATAGATGGCGGGCGCGATTGCCTCCAATAACTTTTACATGGCGATTATCCTACTATAGTTCTTTATACAATGCCTCCAATAACTTTTACATGGCGATTATTTTACTATAGTTCTTTATACAATGCCTAGGTACACAATCTTAATATTGAATTTTAGTACCACTCAAATTTGATAGATGGATCTATTCACATTAGTAATCTATGGTCTAGAGCGTTTGTTTGTTCGAGTCGAGCCATATCTATGGAGAGTAAGTGTTCTGTGATCTATGGGTTCTACGTTCTAGATACCTACAAGATCACCCCAGGCTAGGGGATCTTTAATAGGGAAATGCTTACTCGTGTTGTAGTACTGTGCACCACCCATAGATGGCGCTACTTACACAAAGTTTGCTCGTTGCATTCGTCGAGCAGATTCAGAGTGTATTCAGAGCAGGTTCAGAGTAACGCAAGTGTACGCAAGTTGTTATTTAAAACTTTCAACAGCTAAAAAAACGCTATTAATGGTAATGGTTGATTTGTTTTATTAGGTTAGTTTTTCGAAGATAATTTTTAAAGCTTTAAACAAATATAATTATGGTGCGAATTCGTCCTTGTGCTGATCCAGATTGTCAGGATAAAGCTCGGGATAAAGTTAGTCGCAGGTAAGGAATACATTTACAATTTTATTTCTTTACAAGTAAAAACTTCTTTTTGTATTTTATTCTTAAATACTTTGCCAAATTTTAAGAGCATATATTATTACTTAAAAGTACCCAATTTGTGAAATACATTTCCAAAATAATGCGGGTAACCTAATGTTTTCTAGGAAAAATTAAAAATCTTAACCTAACTTTTATCATTTTCTATACAATTTCAGTAACTAGATAAAATATGTGAATATTAAGAAGATTGAAATAAATAGTGTTATTAGTATTTTTTTAGAATTATACAATATGTAATGGATACTTTATAGTAGATACCTATATACAATTTTTTTTCCGAATTCAAAATGAGGTACTTTTCAAACATACCAATAATTGTATATTTTATATTGTGCGACTCTTATTATTTTTTGCTCCATATACTGTGACCTACCTCACCTAGGTATCTTCACAATTTATTGATTCCAATTAATAAAAGTTGCATTCTTACTAAATTCAAATTCTTTCATTTTATTGAAAAATCTTCTACGATATATTTTTAAGAAATGCCGATTCATTCTCACTAGCTAATAAATTAATAGCTCAGCTGAATTGACTCAAAACAAAAATAATAAAATTGAACTTTATATTTTTTAACTGATACTCTTCTTCATTTTTTACATGAAAACGAATCAGCAAACACTGCAATAGGAAGTGACAAGTACACCCAACAGCAGCCAGAGCCAACTTTCCCCAGGAACTTTCGTTACAACTTCTACTGGATACAACCATGGGTGAACTTCGCAATAGTTTTATATTCATATTTCTTTATTATTGTGTACTGTAATAAGAATTCGTGCAATTTTAATTCTAATAATAAAAAATATATGGTTATAATCGTGTTTTACTTCATAATAAGATGTATTTTTTGTTCCATAAATCCAAAATTATAATTTTTCGTTTTCTTTTTAACTTAAAATATTTCAAATTTTATCTATCACAGAACATAACCCAATGGATTATATCCATCTAAGTATGTTGAGTGAAGAATAAAATGTTTGAATCATTTTAAGTAAAAAAGAACGAAAAATTATAATTTTGAAAACTTAGTAGTGGTTTATTAGAAAGGCCGAGTTTGAAAAACCCGCGCTCATTGACCCCTACCGCCATCTATATAATAAATCTTGAACAAATTTTCAATTATTAGTTATCTTCTTTTTTTTTAACTCAACTATTTGCAACCGCTACGGATGGCGCTGAAAGATGAGTAAAATTTTTCACTGTTGAGTGGCCCATCTTTAAAGGGTATGGTCTGTGGATCACCCCCTCCCCGGGTCGTTGAAAACAAACATGTTGCCAAATTTCTACAAACACACGTCCCACTCCCGCCATTGTCGTAAACGTGAGTTTCCCCGAAATGTTCTGAGTGATTCCCCCTCTCTGAAACTATTTATTGGGCGTTGGCGCGATTCACGTATCACTTTTATTTGTGTGCTTAGTGGGTGTTGTCGTCGTATCGTATTCCAGGCCACAAGCTAATTGTGGTTTGTGCAATGTTTATTTAGTTTCTAAAGTGAAATTATTTTGATTAAAGAGTAAGTGCATGTCTTTATTTTATTATTTGAATGTTTGCCAAGTAATACACCAGATGAGTTTTCATATAAGCTTGTATTGTTTACCCCTGTCTATTTGATATGGCGTTTTAAGAAATTTACATGAACATTTGTTTTTGGCAGAAGAAAATATGGTAATGTTGTAGTTGAAGGGTCTGGAAATGCGCCAGTCCGCACCATTGCTGTTCCGGCTCCGGCTAGTTCTGTCAGTTGGAATCGTTACATAGTTGCCAGGTTATATTGAATTATTTGGAACCAGGGAATAAGCAGATTGAAATAATTATTTTACTTTTAATCGTCTATTTACCAATTTTTACATTGATTAAAAATCCCATAAAAATAAAAAAATTCTAAAGATTTTCAAGTAATACGATCGTTATTTTTAATGGCAATAATACCTTTCAATAGTGATAATTACAAAATTTAAATTTAAAATCTATCAAAACTGTCTTATAAAACAAAACAGAATTGTTATTTCAAAATATAATATAAATCTTTATATTTATTTATCATACATTTTAATTTACAGAGGTTACAATTTGTCTAAATAATAAACTATGAAATAAAGCAAGCTAAAATGAAAGTGGAGATTTGGCTACGTGGCTTGAGCAAATTCAAATTCTAGACGTCAGTGCAGAGTGGTGTGAATATGCGCATTTCTAGACCCGTCAACTACAACATTACCCTTCCCTCTCTCATCTTGTGTCGAATTTCTCATGCAGAACAAAAAAAACCTGTTGTCGGGCCCCCCCTTATAGCGCTGCCGGGCGCCGGGACTTTGTCCCGGCTACCCCCCGCCCCAGTCGGCCCTGTATAGAATTACCACTTTAGCAAAGACTTTGAGTTGTGTAAGGGCCGATTCCACCGTTGTGTTAAACGATGATAAATATAAGGAATAAAATGACATTGTCTAATGTAAAAATGCCATTTTATCTTTTTACAGAACATGTTCTTCAAAGGACCTAGTTTGTACAAAAATATAAGCTGGAGACGAGAGGTAGATTAAAATATTAAAACATGACGAGGACCTTTTTTTTAGAAGCTCAACAAAAAGATTTACACAATCTAGTTTTTTTTTTACAAAATAAAATTGTATGGTACTGGAGGCGAGTTCGGATAGTCAGGGGCTGGAGCGGGACAAATTTTAGGGTGCTTTTAAATGACATTTAAGCGTGTTAAACTGTCACTAATCGGACTAAACCGAACGCTAAAAGGGTCGTTTGGAGTTAAAAGTGTTAAAGGAGTTAAAGGAACGTGGCAGACCGAACGCAATGTGGGACTACTGGGAGGCCATGTAGGGTAATTTGAATTGCGCGGTACGGTAAATGGAATTTGAAAAGTTGGCAAAACTGCATCCATCCTTCCTCCTTCCAGTTCCTGCATCCATTGTCCATTTGTTATAATAAAAAAAAGAAACTTTCAACAAAGAGTATAATAGTTAACAAGCTTGCCTTTTTTGTTTGTTTAGCTTTGTTTCCAACAAATAAATAAAATGAGTAAGGAAAAGGTTAGTAGATATACTTAATAAATAATAGGAATTAATGCGTTACAAGTGCTTTTATGTTATTATTAAAACGTTATCTCTTGATATAAAATATTTATTTATAGTTATTATGGAGTGCAAATACTGCAAATGCATTTTTTGTTTTGAAAGCCACACGATTCACTTGTACATTTTTCTTTATTGATATATCACCTAAGGTCGAAATTGGTTTGATTTCAGATTTTATTGATACCCATTCTGGAAGGTCAAATGTTTTACATACTGGGGTTTTACTTAGCAGTAGTAATGGTACATGGTACCTAGTAATGAAATAATAATAATAAACGACATTATACTTTTTTGAAAAATAATAATGATACCCAGAGGCGGCTTGTAGCCTAGTCTAGGAGGAGACTACTTTTGAAAGGCACACCCTATATACTTAATACAAATATATATTACTATTAGAATACAAACGGCAGAAATATTACATGGCATTCTAATAGAAATATTTATTTGCATTAAGTATATATTCAAAAGTAGCCTCTTCATAGACTAGTTCACCAGCTGCGCCTAAATGGTACTACATTGGACATGATTTGACTAAAACTACTTTTAACGTCCAACTCTAAAAGCTGCTGGATTATAAGGTAACTTTGATTTGAGATACATAGATCAAAATCATGTTGAATAGGGCGTTATGTATTAAAGAATACACAATACATTATGCAATCTTTATTAACAGGACTGGATTATTCATTATAAGTTCACTCGCTTTGTATTTGGTTTCAATTTGGTTGTTTATAACAGTTTTGAGAGCAATTCTTCATATTGACAGTGTATTGCTTACCACAATGAATTTTTTTTCTTTAATTTCTGCATGCTTTTATACCTGCTGGATTTACTGATTTGGCTATATCTGATTTAATTATAAGATTACGAGGAGAGTAATTCTTTCTTTGATGTCACTGTATTTTATACAAGAAGGAATTTGTGAATCTACAAGATTATATTCTTATTTTTGTATTTTTCAATAACATATTTCTGTAAATTCATTGTATAATTCATTTCAGATAGCAATTTGTTAACTCTTGCATGCTTAAGGTATTTAAAAGCAATGTATCATTGTCTTTGATTTTTTATCGCAAATATTTGAGTTTTCAGTTATAGAGCACTTAACCAGGTATTTTTAACTCAGACACATACAGCATGAAATTTAAAGTTACATAAAGTGTATTAAGGCTGTATGTCACGATACTAAATTAAGTACTAAATTTAGCACTAAATTAAGTTATTAATTTAGTACTAAATTTAGAACTAAAAATATTTTATTTTCCGTTTGCAACGATACCAATTTTTAGTACTAAATTTACTATAGGCGCACGCGCATTGACGTATTAATACGTGAAATTAACAGAGAAATGAAATATTATGTGTAAAACAGACAAGTAAATGGTGTTTTTATTATCAATTTGACACTAGTTGACTTGACAACAACCAAATACAGCATAAAAGCCACGAAAAAACACAATAAAACCTACAAAATCAAACAAGCGAACTTTATTCAAGGCGATAATGTAAAATTGTCGCTAATTAAAAATAAAAGGGTACATAAAATACCGTCTATGAAAAACTTCTGCGCAACATTTCGGCGCACTTTTAGTACTAAATTTAGTAGAAAATAGAAAAAGATCTAATTAATTAATGACTTTTTTTAGTGCTAAATTTGCTGTTTGCAACGTGAATTTTTTTAGTACTTAAAAAATGCATTAATTTAGTTCTAAATTTAGTACTTAATTTAGTATCGTGACATACAGCCTTTAGATTGATTTAGTAAGTACTAACTACTACTAACAAGGAAATTATCAAAACAAATTCTACAATATACATCTCAGGTGTCATATTAGTTTAAATTATGAAGACTAGAGATAAGGAGACGAATTGGCATACTCAAAATACGGTCCCAAAAAACGTATGCTAATTGAGCTTCTATAATTAACCTCATGTGCGCTGGTATGGCATATGCTGTTCAAAATACATGGCTTCTTATGGGAATTATACATTTTGCCAAAATAATAAAAATAAACTTGTTTATAGCTAAATAAAGCAGAACATACTGTTGTATTTATTTCTAAATGTCTTTCAGGTTTTAATTGATAAATTATTTAATTTTATCTATATAAAATACAAATTAGATACGTATGACCAAATTCGAAAAGGCTTTTTAAATGCTGAAAAAATAAAACACAGTGAACAGATTTTTTATTGTTGTAATACAAGTATAAAGGGAGATTTGGGAATGTACATGGTATTACATCATCCTTTAATTTCAGTTTTCCCCTTTTTATTTTGCTAACAGTACCATCAGTAAAAATAGTCTCATAATATTTTATAATATCTTCTAAAAAGTATAGAACAGCATCATATCTAGAAAGTGCTTTATCTGCAGGAGAAACGATATATATGCTGCCACTGTTCTAAACGTTTAGTATCCTATAAAAAACATTTGCAATGAAACAATTGGGGTCCAAAAAAAAATATCAGTAGCTACTCTTTATCTAATATTAAAACTATATAAAAAATAAAAAAGCTCGTAAAAAAGTCAGCATCTATAACTGTAAAATTTTATATTATAGAAACTTGTAATAAAATAAACTACACTTCGTAAGATACATATTGTGACTGGTTTACATTAAATATTATATTTAGACATGAATACATTATTTTATTTACATTAGAAGATTTAAAAAGACATTGAATTGATTTCTTCTTGTGTTTTTTTTAGTTTTACATTTGATTTTTATCCTGTTTTTCAATCTGAAATGATGTAAATCTTGCTTTGATGTTTTTGTCACTCATGTTACTTGTACTCAGGTACTTTTTTTCACATTATTTTGATTTTTTCACCAATTTTTTAAAAAATCCCTTCATTTTACATTGGCTTACATATAAAATTGACTACGCTGTCATTAGACATGCCAACTACAGTCTATTTCGGGAACTTTATAAAAAAAAGGACGGAAATTTGACCATTGCCGATTCGCCTCCTCTCTAGTCTTCGTAGTTTAAATAAATTGCCAGATTTAATTGGACTATAATTTTATACAAAATAATTGTAGTTTGTGCAACAAGAGTGGATATGATGGCCATATCGCATGAAGACCAGGTTTGAGCACGATGCCGGCCGTAGGCGGAGTATTCAATCTTAAGTGTGATATGGACAATCCACTCAAGTTGTACAGTATATTTTTTCGAGGACCCACTAACGAAAATCTATAATTATAAAAAAATATTTTAGGTTATTAAGATAAAATAACTCATTTTATGACCTTTACTAATTTATAAAATAAAATAAACATAAAAAAATATTTAATTTAATAGTCCCCAGCCCAGATTCGAACGTGGGCTCTCCACGTGGAAGGCAAATGCTCTGCCCTCTACTCCACCGCCACTTTTAGGATTTTGGTTTTAATACTCCTAATTTAATTATTTTCATATAGTTTGATTAAAATTTAAATATTTTTCAAAATGTGGACAAAATAAAAATCTATATTTATCGATTCTACACAAAAATAACTCATATTTAATCTTTATAACTAAAAAATATACTGACAGAATTATCACTTATTTGAAATTTTATAAATAATTCTAGTTGGGTGTCCAAAATATGAACTGTGATTGGTGGATTAAATTTTTTTTGCAGTGTTCTCACTACCTAGAATGGATATGAAATATATTCGTTCAGTTTAATGCAGCAGCATACGTTTTGTTTTGTAGTATGTGCATACATAAGCTAATATCCATGTGGGTGTAGAAAAAATTATATTAAATACAATTCTACTTTTTTTAGAACAGGTTTTTTTGTTCCTAACATTGTATCTTGTATTATATTTTCTGTCGCCACCTTTTTCCTTGCTTCAACCCACTTTCAGTCATCAGTTGGCAAATGACACAATAATTTCACATAATAGTAATATCCAAAGAGTAGTGGAAAATCTCCAAAGAGTTGTAGACACTATGACTCAATGGTTATGCAAGTAAAGAATCTCCATAAATCCTAAAATAACGCAGTTACTTTTTTATCATCCTCTTTCGATAATTAAATATTTAGGCATCACATTAAATCATAAACTAAACCACAATTTTCACATAAAAACCATGAGTAACAAAGTAAAAACAAGTGCCAAACATTTTCCAGCTCTGACATAGGTATAATCAAGGAATATCAACAGCAACTTGTAAATAATAGAAATAAGTCCATGCGTATTATGACAAGCCCTATCCACAATCCTTCCAGTAATATAGTATAGTCCCGAACCAATGTTTAAATATTATTTCACAACTTTAGCAAAAAACAACAGAATATTAATATCTTAGAACCCCTACACCTTCAAATATCCAAATTTGTATACCCCAAAAAAAATATAATCGATTATCTAAAGGAAATTTATTATGAAGACCCAGGATAACCCAAATCACATAGCCCAAGATGAGGAAAAACAACAAAAGTGCACCCCCAATTATGAAAAGACTTTAAAAGTTTAAAATCTGAAGAAATGTTTAAGTAATGTTAATATTTTTTTTAATGTTAATAGTTTTGTTTATGTAAATAACTAATAAAAATATATCATTGTGCTAAAGGGCTACAGTCGATGTCGCCTGTTGGGTATAGTTTATTATTATTCATTAGATTTTAAGAAAGAAATTTAGTTTATATTAGGTAGTCATGAGAAAAAAAATGTATTCTATTACCCTGTGTTATTTTATAAACTGGTTATTATTTTATAATGTGGCCACATTCTAAACCATCATCAAAAAGACATATGGAAGATTTTATGGCCGTTTTAGCAAATTTCGTACTTCCTTTTTAATGGGCATCGTCCCGAAATGGACCCCGCAGTTTCCTTATGGCAAATGACTTTCGATATAACCTGCTGAGTTTTGTTGTTGACCTCCCAATTAAAAGTATCCCTATGACCAATCTCCTATGACTTAGTTTTTGAAATACAGAATGTTGAACTTGC